CCCAAACTCTCTGTCAAGTGGGGGTGGCTGGGGGAGGGCGGGGACCATGAGGACTCGGCCTGGCCTTTCAACCCCGACCCTGGCACGTATGGCCTTGGCACAGCAGGGGCAGGGCACGCACGGCTTGCAGCTGCCCTCAGCGGGGAGCCTCCCCCAGCAGGGCTGGGTTTGTGTGTGCCCCTCCACTTGCTTGTCCCCACTCTGCCACAACGGGGTAGGGGACAGGTGTCATCTGAGTGCTGACGGTGGGGCTCGTGGATCCTGGACCGTGGGCATAGAGAACTAGCCCCAGGGCAGCCATGGACAGAGGAGGGCCAGCGTGGGCCCCAGGCAGGCCCAGGAGATGGGTTGGGGGGGACACTGACGGCATTGCCACTGCCGGTCAGGAGGGGACATGGGCCTTCCCATGATGGCTAGGCGGAGAGGCGTGGCTGAAGTCAGTGGCCACCTGTGTTCTGGAAACCTGACATGGGCAGCAGAGTCACGATGGAACCGGGGGGTCCCGGGGAGGGAGACCCAGCGCAGGTGACAGATCGTGCGCCGCCGCTATGCCCGTCTCCCGAGCATCTGTCACAGATTGATAACATCCACGCGGAAAGTTAAGTGCAATTATGTCTGTCACCGAGAAACCTACTTCGGAGCCTGACTGACAACTCACGGGAAGCTGGAGGATCACGGGAAGATCACGGGGATGGGAGGGGGGACGGCAGAGGACAGGCTTGTCTTGGGGGACACGGGGGTTGCGGCATGGCAGTGGGAGCCTCTCATGGAGGAGAGGAAGGGGCACAGGGGCACATTCTCGCTCCCAGAGGACGACCAGGCTGGGGCAAGTATACACACACATACACAGGCACACACATACACATGCACACACACAAATGAAGACATGCACACGCACAGACATGCACACAGACACACATACACATGCACACACAAACATGCACACATATGTACATGCACACACATGGACACACATGCACACACATACACACAGACAAACATGCACATACAGACATGCACACACACATGCACATACACACATATATGCACACACATGTACACGTGCGCACGTGTGCGTGCGCACACGCGCGCGCACACACACACACACACACACACACACACACACAAACCGTCCAGATCCAGAATGTGCATCTCGGCATGGCTGAAGAGACCCGGCTTCACTTCTTTTAGCTCAGTCCTGTGCACTGTCACAGGGAGGGCGCCGTGCCCGTTAGCCTGGCGTCTGGGCCTGTACCCCGACAGCAGCACAGCAAGCAGGAGACCACAGTGGACACTAAGGGTCAATGCGGGGCAGTGCCGTGGCCCTATGCCCCCCTGGGTGCCCTCGGCCAGGCCTGTGTGACCTCCACAACAGGACATGATCCGGTCCTTAGATGACACGGGAGAGGCGGCTGACTGACATGGGCAGCAGATGGGCAGCTGGTGGACACGCAGGGCTTCCCCCAATGCTGGACCCTGCATCCCGGACACTTTCCTTCCTGAAGTACAGGGAGCGGAGTGAAGCCGAACTCAGCCTCCTATAGCCTCAGTCTCCTACCTACAGGCCTGTCTCCTGGCTCCCCCACACCTACCCCTTCCCTCCATCACACGGGCCACTTCAGGCCCATGTCCAGCCGCTCTGTCCTCTGCTCAGACCCTCCGCGGAGCTCTTGGGATACAGGACACTGGCGCCCAGCACACACTGCCACTGCCGTGGCTCGCCGGGCGCCCCATCTGGTCCCTGTGCCACGGACTGTTCTGGCCCTGGGGGAGGTTCTAGCAGGAGCTCTGGCCGCAGCTGAGATGCAGGGGGTGGGGGGGAGGTGTGTGTCTCATAGATGACCGCCCCAGCACCTCAGGTCTGACTAAGCCACGGGCCCACTGCTCAGCTGGCGGGGGCCAGTGTGGCCAAGTGCCCTGGCAGGCGCGGGAAGGCGTCTGCAGTCTGCACCCGTCCCCAGGCAGCGGCGCCCAGAAGACCAGGAGTCCCTGCCTGTCGCTGTGTTTATGAGCAGCTCAGGGGGGGGCATCTGCCACGGTGTCCCCTGTAGCTGCTGCGGGAAGGGGAGTGGCACAGGAAGGCAGTCCCACTGCTGGGGGGAGGTGTGGGGGGAACCGAGGCACCCTGCTTCTGGAAGGAGCAGCATGCATCTTGTCCCCGGCCAGGGGCTGGCATGGGTACAATGCAGCCTCACCGAGCCAGCCTCATCTGCTCAGGGCGTCACTGACACTGCGTCGGACTCCCTGGAGAGGCCCGGGCGCCCCTGATGTCTGGGGAGGGGGAGGAGTCCCTGATCAAAAAGGAACACTGGCTCTCAGGCTCCGTGTCAGCCAGGAGGAGCCCCCAGGGAGGGCCAGGACCTGGGAAGGGAAGGCCATCCTGGGGCGCCTCCCCGACAAGGGCCCTTTGTTTTGAAATAAGCCCAGGTCACGGCTCTTGAAAACCCAGCAGGGAGCCTATGAAAAGGAGACCGTTTTTTCCACTCTGGTTTTCAGCTTTTGTGACAGAAGTTCAGGCTCACAGAAGAGGCAGGGTCTTTTCTGGGCCCTCGGGGTGTCCCTCCAGGTCCCACCCTGAGTACGCTGGGGACCACCTACCTGCACTGGGCACCCCCCACCCTTCCCGCCCTCCTGGCCGCACAGGAATCCGCCACCCCGAGGGTGGCCAGTAGAGGGCGCCATCGCCACGCTCCCACTGGAGTCTGCTTTTTCCACCGGGTCCCAGCCCACACAAAGACCTGGCTCCAGCGGGGGCCGAGCCTGAGCTCTGACACGCCAGGAGGAAGCGGCCGCGAAACACAGACTCGCTGGCCGAGGAGACGGAGACGGGTCGAAACAGAACTCTGTTCCGATCGCCCTGCTCCTTCTACAGGCCTGTCCGCTCTCCTCAGAAGACGCCTGAGGCGTGTCTGGGATGATGGGCGGGAGCTTGGGGGGCCGGAGGTGGGGGTGGGGGCGCTGCAGGTGGGCTCAGCTGCTCAGAAAGCATCTGCCGGAAAGGGAGCCCGGTGCCAGGTGGCATGTGCAGGTCCAGGGGAGCGTGCGATGCTCAGTGACTCAGTGTTTGAGAGCAACCCTGAGAAAGCAGCCTCGCTGGCTCCAGTCCTAGTAGTATTCAAGGAAGGCTGCCTGGGGGAGGAGGCATTGGAGCTGAGCTCAAATTTGAGGGCAGGGGTTGGGGACCCCAAAACGGAACGCAGCCCCAGGGGCAGCAAAGGGAGAGGGGGGCTTTGTGTCTGGGGCTGGGGGGTAGGAAGAGAGAATGGAAGACCCGGGGGGCAGACGTGGGGCCTCCACCCTCCAGACCCGACTTGGACCCTCCTGGCCAGCACTGAAACACAGCTCATGGCCTGGACCAATGCTGTCAGCTCCCCCTCCGGGAGAGAGGAGAGGCCGAGAGCCCCAGGACTGAAAACCACTCACTTCACAAACCTCCAATGGGAAAATCTGAATAAGCAGAAAAAGAAAAATCAAAGAGGCTGGGTAGGGAACAACACACAATCTCGAGAACAAGCAAGAGGCAGCAAGCCCAGAGCAGAGGAGACGCTTAAGTGTGTGTGCCCTCCCCCTCTCCCCCCCCCCCCCCGCCGTGAATGCTCCAAGGAGGGGCCAGCTGGGCAGGTGGATAGACGCGCCAGCCCCGCGTCACCTGGCTGCCACCACACACTGGAGGGTCCCCCTCAGCCGGAGCGGCGTCTGCTTTATACGGACTCTCTGACATTTGTGTTATTGGTGAGTAAAACAGAACTGACCCTGTTTCCTCACAGCCACTGTAAACCATGAGCTGTCCCGCAGGAGGTCGTAAGAGACAAGAGCCTTCGAATCTGCCACCGGGGGCTGGAGCGACAGACAGTAGGGAGGGTGCTTGTCTTGCATGTGACCAACCTGTGTTTGAGCCACGGCATCACATATGGACCGCCCCACCCACCCCCCACCCCCGCCCCAGTGCACCAGATCCCTGAGCACAGAGCCAGGAGTCACCCCTGAGCATCGCTGGGGTAGCCCCAGGGGATGAACCCCCCCCCCCGGGCTGAGCCACCTCTGCTGCTGGCTCCCCCCCTTACGCTGGTGGGGTGAGGGGTGAGGGGCACTTTCTGTGCCCACTTCTGGGCTCTTTCCCAGCGCCCTGAGTGACGGGTTCCCTGGTCTCCGCGGATGGGGCAGGCTCTCTGCCACATGTGACCTGCGACTTGGGGAAGCGGAACCTTCTCTACCCGAGAAGAATGATTCTGGGGGCGGCGAGGCCCGAGTTCCCCTCCTGGATGGGCCCCTGGGGTCCTCCGAGCCACGTGGTGCCTGAGCCACATCTGCCCAGGTGGGAGAAGGTTCTGGAGCGTCATCGCTGCCTTTCTGCTCCTGGCAGGGCCGGGCCACCTGGGCCCGCCCCCATGGAACCTTCCAGATCCTCGGCCCTGAGGACCCGCCTCCCCATCTCTCCTGATCTGTCCTTCAGGGACACCTCCCTCAGCGCCCTCCAGCACTGTCCACCAGTAACTTGTCAGCGGCTGTGCAGGGCTCTCTCGGTCCACGAGGCTCTGGAAGGGGCCTCAATGGCAACCACCAAGATCTGCCACGCAGGGGCCCTGCCCGCGTCCCAGCTTCCTTATGGAAGCCGTGATTCAAATGAACACTCCCCCTGCCTGGAAAAAGCCTCGTTCTTCTCCCCCGCCCCGATAAGCTGGGGAAAGCCGTACGTAATGATGAAGGCCCTGCTACTTACCCCGCTCCTGGTTTCTGTGGCTGAGGCCAAGCCCCCCGCCCTGGCTGTGGCCTGTTGCTTCCCCAGCCCCCACAGAACCCAGTGTGTGTGAGGTGCAGAGCCCGCCGTTTGGGGAGCCTCAGAATGGCAGACCACAGAAGACCCTCACGCTTCCCCTATGCAAGGGTGCCGGGGTTTCTAACCGGGTGTCTACAGGCTGCCCCTGGGGCCGTGTGGCTGTAGCTGGGTTTCAAGTGGGGTGCCCCCAAAGGCAGGTGCCCGGCGCTGGGAGGAGCCTCACCTGGGCAGGTTGGGTGCAGGCGTGGAGGCGGCCGCTGATGGGGAGGGCGTGGTGGGCTGCGATGAGTCGGGGTTCCGTGGCACACGGCCCATCCGGTACCAGATGCCCATGCTGTTCAGCTCCCTGTGCAGAAGAGACCCGTTGGCACGTGGCCTGCAGACCCAGGGCCTCTGTACCCGCCACCCGCGCGCCCAGGTTTCCGTCTGGAACCGATGTCCAGTGTTTCTGAGGGTGACTCCCTGGTCCCAGGAGGGTGGGACAGGAGCAAGGGACTGCCGGCACCATCAGGAACAGCTCCACACAGCAGGGCTGACCCCGCTCAGCCTCAGTCTCAGGCCAGGCTAGGGAAGTCGGCCAGGCTCAGAGCCCGCAGCCACTCACAAACCAGCACGAGGGGCTGTGGACACACATGCCAGGCCTGGCTACTGCCGCATACACACTCACACACACACGAGTCACGCATGCACACACACACACTACACACATATACACACACACTACACACATATACCAGCCATGCATACACCAATCATAGACACACACATACACACCAGTCACACACCACACACAGTCACTCACATACTCACACACACATGTCACACACACACGCACATACCAGCCATGCACACACTCACACACTCACACATATCAGTCACGCACACACTCACCATACATGTCACACACATATGCACACCAGTCACACACACACCAGTCACATACACACCAATCACACATATACACACCAGTCACACACAAAACTGCCTCCCCCCATCAGTCACGCACACACCTGCCTCTATACACTCATACACACACGAGTCATACACACACCAGTCATGAAGACACCCAACTCACTCTCTCTCTCTCTCTCTCACACACACACACACACACACACACACACACACCTCCTCACACACATGCACACACCCGCCTCCCTACACTCCACTTAAGCATGTCTGAACCACTGTGAGGGAACATTCAAACATCCATCTTACACCTTTTCTGCTGCCCCCCACACTGCTTCCTGGGGCGCAGAGAACTACCCTTTCCAACAAAGAGACGAGAACTCCTGGCTGGATCCTTCCAGAAGCTTCTCGGTACAGCAGCTTCTGAGCACAGCTTTTCTAAAGCAGAGCCATGTCCCGTCAGACAGCACACAGCCAGGGGCTTGGTTCCCAGAGACCCCCTGCCCGGCCTGCCTTCCCGAATGTCCCGAGTGTCCCCCAGCGTCCCCCAGCCTGCCTTCCCAAATGCTGCCCCCCCCCCAGCCTGCATCCCACACAGAGAGCTGCCGAGCCCAACTGTGCTGGGTCCTAGGCCCCCGGGAAACGCGCAGGAGCTGGCAGGCCGGGGTGCCTGAGGAGCTTCCCTAGGGCCACGACACCCAGACCCGCACGCGGGGGACTCCATGGCTGAAGAATCCGACGAATTCTTGTGCATCAGGTTGAAAATAATCCCCATTCTTTCACCTGCCCCCACAGGCTGTGAGCAAACCTCACACCCCCCCCCCCACCCCGCACCATCCCCCAGGACCTCTGAGGAAGGGCCTGGCTCGGGGTGAGGGACGAGAAGGAACACAGAGCCCAGACCGGGGGGACCTGTGGGGACGCCAGGGGGGAAGCAGGTGGCTGGGTGGGCGGAGGGTCAGAATGGCCTCATGTCCTAATAGCCGGTATCCACTTACCAACTCCCTACCCCTTTATGTATTTGGAGGACAGCCACCCCTTGGCCCCCAGTTCCCATGGAGCTGAGTGGGACATTTGCCAGGTGGGTCCCAGCCACAGTGGCTGAGCCAGATCTGAGCACCGTGGGCTTAATGGGGGTGCCACAGATGGGCAGCTCTTGGCCTCTGGATCTGAGTGGACAGTGGGCGAGGCTGGGTAGGGGACATGTGCAAGCATGGGGTCCCCCTGGGAAAATCAGCCACAGCTAGCTGAGGGGTGGTGCAGTGCTGGGGCTGGTCTCTGCGGGCTGTCCTGGTCTTCTGTGGCCGGTGTCCCTGTCTCCCGGGATGCCAGCTCCGTGAGTGAAGCCGCCTTGTGTGCCCTGTTCACCATCCTGCCCGGGGCAATGGCTGGAGAGCGCCCCACAGAGCTCAGCAGAGTGAGTGCAGGGTCCAGTCTGCAGGTTCTGGTGCAGAGGAGAGGAGAGGGCGGCAGAATGCCTGGACAGGGGCCAGAGAAGGAACACAGGGAGCAGCGCAGGGCGGCGGGGTGGCCCTGGGCGCAGAGGGCAGGAGCTCAGCAGGGGAGGGCGGCCAAGAGGAGGTGGCGATGCAGGCGTGGGGACTCACCCAATGAAGGTGTATTGTGGAGGGGCCTGCTTGGTCCGGCCCATGATCCGAATGTCACAAATGGCAGCTTCCGTTGAGTCCCGGGGGATGAATTTAATGCACAGCCTCTTCTTCCGGAAAGCCACTTCCTCTGCAGGGATGGGCAGAGGGAGGGAGGGTCAGGGTCGCCCATAGACACCCACAGCACCATTCTGAGTCACCGTCACCTCCATGCCCCCAGCCCACACTGGAAGCGACCGGGCACCCCCGACTCCCCACCCGGGGCCGCAGAGGACAGGCCACGACTGGGAAGGGTCCCCGGTCACCTGCTCCCTGCGCTGGACAGCCCCCAGGGGCACAGGCCTCAGTGGGGAGAGGCAACCTGGAATAAACCCTGGGGACTGGCATCTTAGAAGCCCCAAGTCCTGGCGGCTTTGGGTCACTGGCGGCTGCCCGGGACGCCTGAGCACTGGACGTGGGCCCTCTTCTTCCTGTCATGGCTGGAGTCCCCGGGCAAGGGGCACAGGAGGAAGCCAGGGGATCCTGCCCTCAACCACTTTCCGCACCGTCGCCTGTGCACTAGCTGCTTGCTTTGGTCTCTCTGTCTCCTGCCCTGCCGCCCACTCCGGGGTTTTGCTGGAGAAATTTCTAGAAGGCCCCAGAAATTGGGTCGTTCCCTGTACTTCCCATCAGCAGCAGTTAGAGCAGGAGCTTGGACTTGGCTCAGGGTAGATTTGGCAAGCACGGGCGCCTCCAGGGGGCTTATGTGTCCTGTGATGTCCAGTCTGAGCTCCAGCTGGGGGCCAGCGGGGACCAGGCTGCCCTGTAGCTGCCCTCGGTGTCTCCCGTACCCCCAGGCCTGTGCCCTAGAGCCCTGGGTCTGTGCCAGAAGGGTGTGTGTCAGATCCTGCCCCTCCTGCTGCGTTCAGCTTCTAAAATTCTTTCTTTCTTTCTTTTTTTAAAAACTGAATCACCGTGAGATACACAATCACAACGTTGTTCGTTGTTCGTGACTGGGTTTCAGTCACACGATGTTCCAAAACCTTCACCAGTTTCCCTCCCACCACCCTCCCCATCTGCCCTGCCCCACCCCCACCTGCCCCTAGGGCAGGCACTTTGCTTCTTTCTCTCTCTCTCCCTCTCCCTCTCTCCTTCTGGGCACTCTGGTTTGCAACAGAGGTGCCATTTATGACATATATCCCTTTACCTACTCATCTGCTCGGAGAGCCCGGCAAGCTACCGAGAGTATTCGATATGCCAGACACAGTAACAACAAAGTCTCCAATGGAGACGTTACTGGGCCCGCTCGAGCAAATCGACGATCAACGGGAGGGCCTTTACCTTTACCTTTACCTTTACTCATCTGCTGAAATTCTTACAGAGAGGAAATTTCCTCAACGTTTTGGTCTCCCTGAGTTACGCTCTGGACAGGGCCCGGAGGGGAAGTTACGTGTTCCTTTCTCTTCCTGCTCAAGTCTTAGAAAAATGACTCGGGGCCCTGGCAGTGACCAGGCAGGTGTCACTTGTCTGCTTGTCTGTGACATTTAAACAAGCTTCCATCCATCATGCCACTGAATACGTGAGTCAGACAGACGTGGGCTGGAACCTTGACCCAAGTTTCCCGCACTTATGACCTTGGGCCAGTGACAATTCCTTTGAGCCTGGGTTTCACGATCAGCAAAAGGGAGTTCGCGAAAGCACACAGGAGAGGGAGGCAGGGGGCTGAACAGCAGTGGGAACACTTGGCTGGACCCAGAGTCCGACTCTCACGACCTTCCGTTTGGGTCTGCACCAGGAAATTGGTACCTTCACATAGAGAGCCCAGTGCAGAGGAAGAAAAGGGCCACTCCGGCTGGTCTGGATTTGATCGAGGGGAAGCCTGAATCTGGGGTGTTGTTTTGTTGTTGTGTTGTCTTCCAAAGATCCAGAGAGAAACTCACGGATTCTGTGGGTTCTTTTCCCCAGGCAAGGCTAGACCTATCTGTAAGCAGGGCGCAGTAGAATCCTAATTCCAGACCCCAAAGGTCAGTCGGGGGAGGGGGCATGAGAGACCATCAAGGAGTAATCCTCTTCCTTCAGAACTGCCAGACTGCCCAGATCAGGCCTTTGGAAGTATAGAAGAGGCCATAGCTCCTCAAAGAGGAGGAAGTGAGTTTGAAGGGGTGAGGCTTCTCCTCAAAGTGAAGGAAGTGAATGAAGAAGGCTCCTCCTCAGAGAGGGGGAAAGTGAGTGTGAAGGATCGCTCTCTCAGAGGGGAAGAAGGGCAAGGGCGTGAGGTGTGAAGCTTCTAGTCAAGGTAGAAAAGTGAGTGTGAAGGGGTGAGGCCTCTCCTCAGAGAAGAAGTGAGAGGAGAAGGCTCTCCTCAGAGGGGAGGAAGTGAGTGTGAAGGAGTAAGGTCGCTCCTCAGAGAGGAGGAAATGAGAGGAGAAGGCTCTCCTCAGAGAAGAAGTGTAAAGGAGTGAGGCCGCTACTCAGAGAGAAGAAAGTGAGCGAAGGAGAGAGTTCTCCTCAGAAGGGAGAAAGTAAGTGAAGGAGAGGGCTCTCCTCAGAGGGGAGGAAGTAGGTGAAGAAGGAGAGGCCTCTCCTCAGAGCAGAGGAATGGCAGGTACCACTTGCCCTGCCTCCAACCCTTTGCTCCAACCCTCCATCCACCGCAAACCCAGGGTAAAAGATGGAGTTGCTAATTGCACATGCTTACACAGGCCTAATTTTAAGTAAACATATTATACAGAGTCAATAGAGATGTGTTCAGTCATGTAATGAACACGAAAAGAGGGCAGAGCACTTTCTTTACTAAGACAGTCTTCCAGTTTTTAAGAGCTAGATGGATGGCAGCAAACTGTATTTTAAGCTAATTACAGGAATCTCGCCTCTTTGGGCTGACTTTATAAACTCGGGGCCTTAAGTGCACTCGCACTGCGCAGACATGATCAGTCTACTGAGTTATACGGCACAGTCCCTAGGTATGGCTGAATAACCCAACAATGACCCAACATGAATAACCTACACGCAGCCGCCTGGTGTGAGATGAAGCTCACTGGAGACGCCAGGACACAGCCTGCAAGGGCCTCCAGGGGCTCGACTAACATCCCTAAGGTACAGCCGGGAGGGCAGGCCGGCCTTTTCCTCAAACAGTTCAACCCACTGAGAGACATTGCGAGAAAACCCTGTGTGACTCCACGGAGCAGCAACGCAAAGATGGAAGCCACGGCCAAGTGAAAAATCAGAAAGACAGAGGGGAAAATGAGAAGGTGGAACAGAACTGCAAGGCAGTTTTAGTTCTCACTGAGCAGAAAAGCTGTGTGAGAAGAAGTGGAAACAGCCAGCAAACACTTATGAAAATACTTGGTCTTGCTAATAAAAAAAAAGGGGGGAAATGAAATAAAATTAGAATAGTAAAAGTAAATAAAAAATTCAAAACCCACGCTGGCAGGGCTTCGGAAAACGGGTACCGGCCTGTGCCATTAGTGGCACCGAGAACTGGTATTCCTGGAAGTTAATTTGGCAACAGAGAGTAATAAAGCTTATTTTTATCGAGCCCGTTCTCTGAGCAAGGCCGTGCGTATGGCGAGGACCCTTGGGTGATCCACAGATGAATTAAACATGGACCCTGCCTTCAAAGGAAGGGCTTAGCAGCAAAGACATGAGAAAGGAAAAAGAAAAAGAAATCCAAAGTAGAAATGACTCTCGTGCAAGCTCAAAGTTAGAGGAAATGAGCCCCCCCGCCCCACCCCCCATCAACTTTCCAGATGAGGAATCTCAAGTATTGGGCCGCCTTACTCAGGGTGGCCTGCAGGTGGTCCTGACCGAGCTCGGGGTGCGAGCTTAAGTGCAGAATCCTTTGGGTGCCCTGGCTTCCTACCTGCGCCTGCTCCCCTCCCCTGTCTCAGTACATCCGAGCCGGGTTGGGTGGGGCAGAAGCATTAGGACGACCCCCGCCTTGCCCCCGACCCCTTCTCACCTGTGGAGAGCCAGTATCTGGCTTTTCCCTTCCCTTCCCTTCCCTTTCTCCTCCCTCTCCTCCCCTTTCTTGGCCACACACGCTGTGCTTAGACTTACTCCTGGCTCTGCGCTCAGGCACTGCCCTTGGCGAGGCTTAGGAGACTGTGTGGGAGCCAGGGATCAAACCTGGATCAGCCGAGTGCCAAGCGCCCTCCCTGCTGTGCCACTGCTCCGGCCCTCTCTCTCTCCTTTTCCTATCCGGTGCCTGCAGGGCCGACCCCGGGCACCTGCGGGTCTTAGCTGGGAGCGGGAGGAGACCGTCTGGACTCAAGATGGTACTCAGGGACCGTTTCCAGCACACGGGGCACCTCAGTTCACCCTTGAGACATCTGGGCAGTGTGTCCTGGGGCACTCGCAGGGTCGGGAGGGAGGTAGAAGCCTCAGGGACAGTCGGGAGGGATCCTTGAAAGAAGGTGGGATTGGGGGCCATCGAGGCAGCACAGCAGGTGGGTGCCTGCCTTGCAGGTTGGTCCACACGCCTGCCGGTAGTTCTAGATACACAAGCGCAGCACCAGGAACAAACCCTGAGCACTGCCAGTGGGGGCCTCAAAGAAAAGAAAACAAAACGAAGAGGTAGATTTCTGGGTGGGAGGGGGTCGTGCTGAGTGATAGTTTTCCCCTAAAAAGGGGGCAGGGAAAGCCCAGACTGTTTGGGGACCTTTCTGCTCTAGGGCATCTACCTTCAGAGCTGAGGGACAGAACATTCAGGCGAGAAGAAGAGGTGAGGGAGAGCGGTCTGAAGAGGTCAGTGATGGTTCAGCATGGGCTGAGGAAGGGCGCTTGGAGAGGAGGGTGGAGAGGAGGGCAGAGTGCAAACGTGGCAGTCAGGGAGTGCAGGTGAGATCCAGAGGGGCGGTACAGGTCAGGGGGCAGGTGCAGGTCAGGGAGGGGTGGGTGAGGTCAGGGAGGGGCGATGAGGTCAGGGAGGGGCGGGTGAGGTCAGGGAGGGGTAGGTGAGGTCGGGGGGGGGTAGGTGAGGTCAGGAAGGGACAGGTGAAGTCAGAGAGGGCAGTGCATGTCAGGGAGGGCCTATGACCCAGCAGCACCGGGTGCTCTCACACCTGGAACTGGAATGTTCCCTGATCTCTAGACTCAGTACAACTGATGCCTTGCAAACGCCCAGCTGGCTTCTCTGCAGAAACGGACTTGTCCTGAAATTCAGGTGGAAACCCAAGGGGCCCAGTGCAGAAAGACAACTTTGGGAAGAAGAACAGAGCAGAAAGAGATGGACTTCCCAGACCCAAAACCTGCTACTGAGCGAGGATAAGCAAGACCAGTGCCGGCTTAAGGAGCAGATGGGGTGAGGGAGGGAACTGCATTGGGAGGGAGAGCCCAGCACGCCAGTCTGCCGGCTTCTCCTGGGACACAGTGCCACGTTGCCGAGAGAAAACCATGAGTGCAGCATGCAACGCTGGGACAAGCGTGTGCACATGAGTATAGGAGAAGGACAGTCTCTTCTCTCATGCCACACACGAGCACAAAACCAGACTGAAGACATGAATGTGAGACGGGCAGAACTGTAAAGCCCTGGGAAGAAAGCACAGGCACAGCCTTGAAGACCTCGGGCCGGGTGGTGGCCGGAGAGCAGGGGCACGAGCAGCAGAGGGCAGAGAGGAGAAAAAAAAAAAACAGGGAAAGGAATGACAGCCCGGCAGAGCTGCTCTCTGAAGAAGGGCTGACACCGGAAAGTGCACACTTTCTTACGACTCAATAATAAAATCACCCTGGGACCAAACGTGCACGAAGGGTCTGGAGAGACATGGGAAAAGCTGTTCTCTGAGTGCGCCGTGAGGGTAGTGCAAATCCACACGGTGCCGAGGTTCTAGTTTCACCCCTCATGGCTAGAAGAATGAGGATGAGGGTAACAGGGGCTGGCCGAGGTGTGGAGGGACCCACAGAACGTGCTGCCGGGGAGGGGGAGGAATGATGTGGCCCCGTTAAGAACCCCCGCAGTTCCTCAAAGGTAAATATAGACGTACCACAGGACCTAACAGTTCCACCTCTGGGCATGAGTTCTCAAGAGCAACGAAAACCCAGAAACGCAAATGTCCATAGTGACATCACCCTGACAGCCGATGTGGAAACACCCATTGACTCAGGAAGCGAACCCAACTCAAGGAGCACAGGGCCGGCTAGGAAGAAACAGCAGTGAAGCACGGGCGTGGGCAACCACGGGGCCCGGCCACTCGAGGAGGAGGAAGCCAGCCACAGAGGCCAGGTGCCTTCTGAAGAGACCGGCAGGACGTAGCCAGAACCGGCAAACCGGTGCAGAAAGCCGGCCAGCGCGGCCTGCGGTGGGCAGGGAGCGACTGCTCGGAGAAAGGAACTGCTGAAGGGAGGCACGAGGTGTTGCCTCTGGGGGATGCTGGAACGTTCTAGAAGTGAGTGTGGCTGCCAACTCAGCAAAAAATACACAAACCCACTGAACTGTGCACTTTAAATGGACAGACTCCGTGGCACATGGATTATAGCTTCTATGAGAGCCACCGTCACCTTCCAGACCTGCAGAGAAGTGCATTCCCTCCAGCTGTGGGCAGGGTGCAAACACAGGCTCTGCGGGTGTGGAAGGAGCCAGGCAGGGGGTCTAGGCCAGGCACTCTCACCTTCTGGGGGTTGGAGGGAGCACTGAACCCCTGAGCCACGCTGTCTTGCCTCCCCTTTGTGGGACACGGATATGGTGACACTCACAACTGAACCGCCTTGCAGGGATAGAAGCATTTACCCTGGGGGCACGGGAGGATGCCCCAGACCCTGTTTCCCAGCTGATGCCATTATCAGGCAGTACCAACAGCAAGTAAGTGCAGCCAAGAGCGAGGGGACTGGTGTCAGCCTGGAAGTAAGCACATAGAGGGGCCCACCTATCTTGGCAAAGAAACAGTTCTGTGCAGGCCGTGTACACAGGAGTCTTGTCTACACGGCTCTTCCTCCCCCTCCCCCACCAAAACTAAAAAATGAGTTCTCAAAGGGGGCTGGCTGGAGAAACTGCCGGACAAAGGAGGTGCAGAGAGAGCCCCATCAGTAACCCCCGAGCCCCGACATCTCTTCTGTGTCTTTACCGCGAGACCTGTGTAGACAGGTTCCCTGATGTCAGTGACAAGCTGGAACACAACGCATCCTAGCACACCTTCGGGAGGTGGCCCAAGTTCCGAGGGGGTGTCTGCACTCTGGCCCAGCCCATTGCGGCCTGTAGCACTGCAGTTCGTGCCACCTGCCGGATACTGCCAGCCTCCTCTTTTTTAGAACGCGTGCCCTTGGCCCCTGGCCCTCAATGCAGGACTGGGCGTCTGGCTGACTGACTTGTGGGCCCGACCAGCGCCCCAGGACACTCCCGGAAGCACGGGACCTGACTGAGCAGGGTGTGGTCTGAACACATGTGCTGTGCCCTGCGGCCAGGCCTGGCTGGGCTTGGGGGCTCCAACAGCCCAGACCCCCATGGCTCGTGTGTGCCCTGGTGTCTTCCGATATCCCCCTTTAGTGTCTAGGACTAGCGCCCTGAACCCTGCCTGCTACGGGTCAGGCCCTGGGGGCCTGGGGTCTGCAGGGGGCACCTTGCAGAGAGCAGAGGACACGGCCCGGAGAGACGGGGAGGGGAGGTGGGGCTGGTCCAGCAGCAGCAGCAGCCGCAGCTTCATTCCCAGGCCTCCCGCAGAAAACCACCAACAGCAACCAAAAGGCCGGGCCGCGGGGCGGGGTGGGGAGACTCACGTGTGTCCACAGTCTCCTGAATGGGGATGAAGCCCACGGGCAGTGTGTCCTTGATGTCGATGAGCTTCATGTCCACCAACACGTTCCCTAAATGACTCTTGGAGAAAGCGAGAGAGCAGAGACACAGACCATTAATCTGAAGCCGTCCACAGAGGGTCTGCCAATCTGGCTCCAAGACACACAGCGACACTGCGATGGGGGCGGCCCCCAGCAGCCTGTGGGCTCATTAGCTGGCACCTGGCATCCCTTCCCCCACCCCCCACCCCCACCGCCTACTTTCTCAGGCTTACAGTGGGCGCCTCCCCATCCCCGGGAAGAGTTTCATCTGTGGAGCCTCCAAACTGCTCAGGGGGGCTGCCGTGGGGAATGCCTGGCAGTGGGCAGTGGGTTTCGGAAAGGGCAGGCTCCTGGGGGGCGGTCGTCAGTCCATATGCCCACCTGCATTTGAATGGGTCGCCGTGTGGAACCCTGAGTGCTGTGCCCCTCCCCCGAGGCTGGTCCCTGGGTGCAGCGTGTCTTCTACCACGAGGGGCGTGCCATGGGGCCTTGCGGGAGACCCAAGGCCTGCAGAGCCCATTTCTGCCACCAAAGGCAGCAGGCGAAGACGCACATGGTGGTCACCGTGGCTGGGGCAGGTGGTGGGGGAGGAGGGGGCAGAGCCTGCTCCGGGCACCCATGGTGAAACTGCAGGACCCTCCCCCCCGACGCCCACTGTTCACCCTCCACTTCCTGAACCCACTCTCTAGGTAGGATCAGCGAGGGAAAAAACCACAGCTTCCGGCCCCCAATCTCCCAGGACACAGCAGCCCACTTTCCAGAAGCTTCTCTTCCCCAGAAACCCCCATTGGAGCCCAGGCTCCATTTTCTTGCTCTGGATGCCTGGGGCCAGCCCCCAGCTGACGAGGCTCCCACCGTCCCCCACTGTCCTCTTGCTCAGAGAAAGATTCACTTGGCTCCACTTTTGACCAACTGGGGAGTTCTTATCACCTGAAGTCTATGCCACAGGCCCGGCGGACACTCCCTGGCACATACCTCCTGTCAACAGATGACAAGTATACTTATGAGATATGTATGTATATATATATATATGTGTGTGTGTATGTGTGTGTGTGTGTGTATGTGTGTGTGCATGTGTGCGTGTGCATGTGTGTATGTGAAATTTCCATCTCCCTCTTGGAATTTCAGAACCATGAGGACCCTGTTACTGTAAATCCACACCTGGCATACTTCTGGACACAGAGCAAGTGCTCAATCATTTCCACTGAATGTGTGTCTCATGGAACATTTTTTCGGGGGTGGGGGGAAGGCACTCTGAGTCAGAAATCAAACTGGAGACTGGAGTGGCTGAGAAAGCTAAACTATGTCAATAAAAATATTTAAAATACATTTCATGGGAGCCAAGGATGCATCTTAGTAGAAGAGTTGGGTTGGCCTTGGGTTGGAGCCCCAGCAAAACACACACACACACACACACACACTTATTTCACAAATGTGTTATAAACCAAAGGCTCACGAACGCAATAAATTCTTCAAGTCCGGAGGCCAAAGGGCTGAGTGAAAACCAAGATGGGTGTTGTCACGGCCCAGTGCTCACAGCCCGGTGCTCAAGACCATTTGAGAAGCGCCAACAATGCCACATTCTCCCACCCTGGGCAGCATCTCTCAGGGAGACACATACCACCCGGAGAGGACAGGGAGGACATGGAAGCCGCATGGACAGGGCATAGATCCCCAGCCGTGTGGAGGGTCTTGCCATCCCCCAGGCGAGAAAGCATCAGCTGCTCTCAAAAGCACCCGATCGAATCTATCACGATTTTTTGTTGTTGTTGTTCATGGCAGTTGCTTCTCCATGTCATCGCTGCTCTCTGCGTTGAGGAATTAACAGCTGGGTCTGTGTTCCTGCTCCGGAGACGGACGGGCATTCATCAATGCCCTCCTCAGACGTCTTCCACTTGACAAGCTGGGTTTCACCGAAGTCAACTGCAAACCACTTAGCGGCCTCTCCCTCCACACTCTACAAATGTCCCTGATCATAAAACCAGAACATCGGCGGTGTGGCCATTAAACAAAAACGCATCGGCGCGCCCTCGCTCGCATACAGAGCGGGGGGCCGGCAGTGCCGAGGCGCCCCGGGTTCCGAGGGAGGTCCCGCAGGCAGGCTACGCTCCCGGGTCCGGCTTGCAGACGGGAGGTCTGCGACACCATTAATTTTGCTTGCTCCTCTCCCCTCCCCCACCCCGGGCTCACTTTCATTTCCTCCTCATAAATATGAAGAACGTATTCCCAATCCTTGTTGAGCAAATGATTCATGCCAGGAGCCCACAATGCACCGACTTGCGGCATTTATATTGTCTCTGGTAGCCAGTATTTGCTAGTATACTGTAATTATTTTTGACAACCTTGCATTTAAGGTAGCCACAGATAACCAACTTAATATTCAAATGTTCATAAATCCTTCTGTTTAATATCCTCCCTACCTAATCTATGTACATTATTATTACAGGTAATGCAGAAAGTACAGGGCATGAAAAGTGCAATTAATCTCGCGCCTGCCCCGAGAAGCGGTGTCACTCTGAAGCTGGGTTTCTGTATTAACAGCATTATTGGGGGAAAAGGAATTTCTGTTCCAGAGGCGTCTCCCCAAACTCCTACACTGGGAGTCTCAGGTCGCCTAATTAAGAATCTGTTTGGTCTTGGGAACCTACATCCCTCCTTTATTTACGGTTGTGAAAAATGACACTGCGCCAAGTCTGGGCTCCACCAGTGGGGCCAGGCCGCACGGGCGGGGCCGCTCACAGGCCCGGAGGTGGGCAACGCCGCCCTCGCCAGCTGATCTCAAGCGCCGCAATGGGCGGCCCATTCTTTTTCTGAAAACACAACACACTCATTTCCTTTACTATCTAAAGCAGGGATGGGGGGGGGGGGGCAGCACTTTCCCTGCAGCCCTGTCCTTGGTTCCTGTCCCTGCTCACTCCTTGGCCTGCTGTGCCTAGACCCCGGGAGGAAGGCGAGGTGGGAAGCAGCCGCCCAGCTGTTGGGCCTCAAATGATGAGTACGGTGGCAGCACCTGGTGATTTTTCTCTGCCCCTGGTAGACCTGACTGGTCCCCTCGACACTAAGACCCACAGCCTTTGGGGGTGGGGGTACAAAAACAGGCACCTCATGGTCAGACTGCTGAGGGCGGGGTGGGGGGAGGGCGCACAGCATTGACCTGGGGCCTGGCCAGTGGGAGAAGGTGATGGGGAATGGACATGTGCGGGCACGAGCAGTCAGTTTTGGTGCTGGGCACGCAGCCTAATGACATGGGGCGGCAGGGTCCACGCTCATGGTGGACCTCCTGCCACGAGCGGGAGTCGGGGATGGGACTGAGGTGGCCAAAGGCAGAAGCCAAAGGAAACCATTACCTAAAAGTTCTGGTAAAGTCCAGGACAGTGGGGCTGGACAGTGCCACATGCATGGATGTGGACATAGGAGGGAAGGGCAGGGCTGTGGGAGCCCAGGCCAGCTTCAGGTGGCTGAAGGCTGGGAAGGGACCCCATCTGTCCAGGGTCCCCTCTGAAGCACAGGGGAGTAGGGGCCTGGTGACGCTGGCATGGGGATGGGGCCCCATGGTGGGGGGAGGAGCACACTGCTTTTGCAGGGATAGTGTGAAGGGGCTCAGCCAGGTGGGGATGGTACGAGGGGCCTTAGTCAGGGAGTGGGTGGACAGGGGAGCATGGCCTGTGGGGGGCAGGGGGGAGGAGGAGTTGGTGATGGGACACTGTGGTGATGGGACAATGGGGACAACATGTCCCCACCACACTTCTGGAGGAGGAGGAGGTCTGTGATTATTTTCTTCTTTTAAAGTCAGGGACACACGTTACTGCCATAATGAGATGTGTGTGTGTGTGTGTGTGTGTGTGTGTGTGTGTGTGTGTGTGTGTTGTGCATGACACCCAGCGATATTCAGGGGTTACTCCTGGCTCTGCACTCAGAAATTACTCCTGGCTGTGCTTGGAGTGCCAGAGATTGAACCTGGGTTGGCCGCATGCAAGGCAAACACCCCCTCCCCCCCTGCACTGTGCGATCGCTCCAGACCCCATAATGAAATTTAAGGGCAAGAGAAAAACAAAAAGCAATTAAAAATACTTTCAGAAGAGAAGTATTTCTATTGGAAAATGTGAAGATGCTATCAACTAGGGCCAGGCCAGGCAGTGACCCAGGACAGGCTCAAGCCCGTTGCTGTTCTTGGGGTGCTGCTGGGAAGGTGATGTGCTGGGTTGGCCCCTACGGGGTAGACATGCCTCTAGGCCTGTGTCTTTTCTTCAGCACCCCTCAGTCCTTCAAGTACTTTCTGGAAAAGTTTTAGTAACTTTTTTTTTCTCAGTTTTGGCCACACCGGTGGTGCTGAGGGTTTACTCCTGACTCTGCACTCAGGAATTACTCCTGGAAGGGCTCAGGGGACCCTGGGGGATGCCGGGGATCAGACCCAGTCAGCCGTGTGCAAGGCAGACACCCTATCCACTACTTCAACATTCTGGCCCTGGCAGATATCTTTGACACACACCAGTTCAGGGGCCCAGGTATTAAACCCACTGAGAAGTGGACCCCTGTCACCCACATTTTCTGCTTCCATGGGAAGGGGTTGGAGGGGAGGAGGGCAGTTTTAATCTAGCTTGGAACGAAGGGTCTCATGTCCTTGCATCCTGTGATTTGTTATCTGGAGGAAAGGTGAGCAGAAAGAAAGAGAGAAAGAAAGACAAAGAAAGAAAGAAGAAAGAAAAGAAAAAAGAAAAGCAAGCAAGCAAGCAGGCAGGCAGGCGAAGGGAGGGAGGGAAGGAAGGAAGGAAGGAAGGAAGGAAGGAAGGAAGGAAGGAAGGAAGGAAGGAAGGAAGGAAGGAAAGAAGAAAGGAAGGAAGGTAGGCAGGCAGGCAGGCAGGCAGGCAGCCTGCAAGAGAAATTTGGTGGTTTCCCTTGGAGAACACGCTTTAATGGCCTCGGCTATGCTCTCGGCCACGCGCTTAATAACACCACTAACAAACGATGCCCAGCACAGCCCAGGCTGCTCCTCGCGCTCAGGTCGCCAAGGCCACAGATGAATGAGCGTGGCCCGGCACAGGCGCGGGGACACAGCGCCGGCACGCCAAGGGAAACCGCCGCTGGACTTACATTCTCTTTCGAAAATGATCTGGTGAAACATAGGTATCTGGTGACCTTGGATTTGAACAAGCCGTCTTTCCAGAGGTCAGCATCCACGCCATCTGCCGTCTGCGCCACCTGCGCCGGAGAGAGAGGGAGGCTCCGTGAGGCGGGCGGGCCGGGCCAATTAACACCGGCCGGACCCTCCTGGCATCTCATTAGTTCATTTCACGGGCACCGGGAGGAGAATTTCCAAAAGGGGGAAACCAGGGAGAGTGTGAAAAATCCTCCTCCTAAAACCCCGTCCCCGGGGGAGGCAGCTGATTAAAGACGCCCTGACAAAGGTGGTTCTAATGAGAAAAGAGCAACTTGTGCCGTAATGGAGCAGGAAAGGAGCCGGCGCCAGCCCATCACCACGCTCATTACCGCTCACTCGGGGGACGGCCGGCCGCTGCGGCATCCAGCGGGCTGTGAAATGCCACCGGAGGGGCGCTGCCCGCCGGGAGGCACCACAGCCTCCTGCCCTGGGGTCCCAGGGCATGTCAGTACCTGGAGCTCTCCTGGCACCCAGGACGGGGTCTCGAGGGAGGGAGGGGGGTCGGGCAGGGAAAACCTTCCGCAGGGCACCAGGCTTGTCACAAAGCCAGGCACAAAGCCAGGCAGCGGCATTCAAGGTCAGAAAGCGGACGGGGAGGGACGGCAGGGCTGCGGGGCTGTTTGTGGGGGGCAGGGGCTCGAAGGAGCCTTTGTCTGGAGCTGGGCCCGGCGGTGGCGGCCAGGGTCGCTCCATCCACTGGCATCAGAGTGGGGCTCTGGCACGACCGTGTCCCCTGCTGTGTTCCCTGCTGTCCCAGCCTCCTGCCGCCCCCACTCAGCACCCAAAGGTGCGCTCAGGGAGGAGCTGACGCCCAATTCAATCTCCCCACTTCTCACCAGATGTCGCCTGGGCTACCCCTGGGGGTTCAGACTTCCGGGAGCCGTCCTGGACCCACTTGACAAGCTGCAGCTGTACCCACACAGCACTGTAGGGGGCGTGCCCTTCCTTGCACAACACAAGCCCCCCCCCCTCCCCCCCCCCCCCCATCCCAGTACTCAGCCACGGGGCTGCAGACCAGGATGTTCCAGGAGCCTCTCCCCGCCAACCCCCTGCCCCATGAGTCTCTCAGGCTGCTCAGAAAAGCCCACAGACAAGAGGGAAGAGCAAAGTGCTTCCCTTCACACGGAGGTGGAAGGTTCTGGGCCCAGGTGGGGTGCACAAACTGTGGGAGCAATGCTCTGGGGCGCTGCTCCGACTACTGCAGCCCTGAGGAGAGACACAGGGCGGAGGAGTCACCTGCCGGCACCCACCCCGAGCCCCTCCCAGCATGGCCCTATGTGAAGTTTCGTGGAAGATCCGAGCTTCGGGGCGGCGACCTGGCTTACGGGGATACAGGGGCCTGGCGCTCCCCAACACACGACTACACCCACGGGTGTCTCCAGCCCAGTCTCCTAAAGGTGCTGATGAGCCACAGTTCCTCGGTCCCAGGCAAGACAAGACAGACTCTACGTGAAGCAGGCAGGCAGCTGCCCGAGCTACAGTCTGACCTCTGACCCTGCAAACGAGCGGCAGCCCCCAGACTAAAGTTCCTCCCCTCAGAGGGGAAGGCCAGGAGGGCAGCCTGTGGGGAGGAGATGCCCAGGGTGTCCAGGGGCTGCCAGCCAGCAGGTCAAGAACAGGAGAGAACTTGAGGCCTGAGCTTATCAGCTCCCTGTCTGTGGACACAAGGGCCTCCTCCTGAGATGATGGCCATGGACACAGAGGACTCCTCCTGAGGTTATGGCCATGGACACAGGGCCTCCTCCTGAGATGATGGCCATGGACACGAGAGCCTCCTCCTGAGGTGACGGCCATGGACACAGAGGCCTCTTCTTGAGGTGATGGCCATGGACACAGGGGTCTCCTCCTGAGGTGATGGCCAGGGACACAGGGCCCTCCTCCTGAGGTGGCATGGTCGGTGGACACAGGCCCTTCCTGAAGAGATGACATACAAACAGCTTTGAAGGAAAAGTAGATGGAGCTCCAGTTAAACCACTGCCAACAGGAGGGCACGAGGAGCAGACTGAGATGCTGCCTTCCTGGCGGTGGGGACGGGGGTAGTCGAGAGGGGATTGGGCGGCAGAACAGCTGCATCTGGAGATAAGCAGCATGATCAAAGTATTCGGAATATGGAGGCGAACGTTCAGGAAGCGAAGAAACCTAAGAGTTGGACGTTGGCTCTGGGTGGAGGTGGGCGGGTGGGTGGGCCGAGAGGGCCGGGCCGGTTGCCCTGTTCCCTTAGAGCCTTTCAGTCCACTTGGATTGTTTTTCAACATGTCACTTAGGTCTGACCTCTGACCCTGCAAACTAGCGGCAGCCCCCAGACTAAAGTCCAGACTAAAGCCCCCAGACTAAAGTGCCGCATGTCACTTAGGTCAGCAAAAAGCACCCTCCAATGACAGAGCCTGAGAGCCAGGCAGTGCCCGCGGGAGCCAGGGTCCTGCAGGGCGGGCAGGGCGCTTGCGCCCCGGGACCCCCAGGACCCCTGCCTGGTGTGGGTCCCAGCAGGGAACGCTGCTCTGGAGGCCAGTGTGGGCCCCAGTGATTGATTCCATAGAGCTTAAGTTGGCCTAGACCATGCCCTGTCTCTCACCAGAGAGAGGCATCCCTGCGGGGTAGAAGGTCACTGGGTCACCTGGGTCACCTGGGACCTCGAGGGAGGGACACGCAGACTCAATCCTGACCCCAACCCCAACACCCTCCATGCAGAGACTTGGCCTGCCCTCCAGGAGGGATCCTCACCATGGCCCCCTCACTGGGGACCGTTCATGGGCCAGGACCTGCTTCTAGGTTCTCAAGGCCCTGTGATGAACATGACCACCAGTGGCTTCCGCAGCCTCACAGACAGGGAAGACTGAGGAGTGAGCACCCCGGAGGAGTCCTCGGGGGCTGGGCTGGCCACGGGGGGGGGGGCAGGGCGGACCCTCCACACCTCTGCGTGTGACCCTGGCCTTGGCGCCGTGTGCAGAGGGTGGGAAGCATAGGAGGGCAAGGACGGAGGCAGAGATAGGCCCTTCGCTCTGGCAAGGCCTCAGGGAGAGACAAAGGCACCAGGAGCCCAGAGCGAGGCTGGCTGTGGCCCCGATCCGCCGCACAGACGCAATAGGGAGGCCAGTGGGCGCGGAGAGTGGCATCACGGCCAGGCGTGGCCCTCTGAGAGGAGTTCGCGTCTCCTGTAGGCCAACAAAGGGGTATTTTTTTTTTATTGTCCCCACAGGCCCATTCAAGTCACTCATCACCGAGCCACTGTGAAACAGTCAATTCTAACGAGTCAAAGGAACCTCCCAAGGCTTCAATGAGAGTGCACACAGGGGAAGTTTTCATTCATTTTTGCACCGCTCATCCATTAATTTGCAGGTGGTCTGAAAAAAACAGATTAAGGGATAATATTTATTCAAGCACAGTATTTTCCCAAGTTAAAGAACAATTCTGCCTCCCCCCCTTTTTTTTTTCACATTTCACTTCCTAGCTCCCACTCCCTTCCTTCTTTCCTTAAAAAAAAGGTAAAGGTAAAGGCCCTCCCATTGATCGTCGATTTGCTCGAGCGGGCCCAGTAACGTCTCCATTGGAGACTTTGTTGTTACTGTGTCTGGCATATCGAATACTCTCGGTAGCTTGCCGGGCTCTCCGAGAGGGGGGGAGGAATCGAACTCGGGTCGGCCATGTTGGCCGCGTGTAAGGCGAACGCCCTACCCGCTGTGCTATCACTCCAGCCCTTAAAAAAAAAAAAAAAAAAAAAGTCTTCACTGTTCAAACCCACCAGGAGCACCTGCAACACCACCAAGGAAACAACAAAGGGAAGGAAAGTGGGCGGAGAGGGGATAAATAATCAATAAAAAGAGTATTTAGGGGCTGGAGAGATAGTAGCGAGTAGGGAGCTTGCCTTGCACGGGGCTAACCTGTGTTCTACCCGAGCACCCCATGTGGCCCCCCAAGTCCCAAATCAGCCCTGGGTACAGTCATATGTACCCCCCACAAACAAAACAAAAAAGCATTTAATTATTATTTTTTTAAATTTTCACAGCTCTTGCCTTCCACCTCGTCTCCTTGGTAGCCTCAGTTCTATGATCAGGGCCCACTGCATCGTTTGATTGAATGCTACAGATTCTACATCAATGCCCACTGCATTATTTGATGTGATGCTACAGATTCTATGATCAGTGCCCACTGCATTGTTTGATCTGAGATTACAGATCCTATGAACGATGCCCCCTGCATTGTTTGACCTTAGGTTACAGACTGGCCTTGCATCCTGGGTCGAATTTTCCAGTGTCTGCCATTTCCCTTCCACCTGATGGGTCACACAGTTCCCCGCAGCTCCTCCCTGTGCTGGGAATGGCAGCACCGCGTTCCCCCACCTGGGCTGTGCGTCTCCTCAGTCTGAACAGAGCTGTCCCAGACACCGAGGTGAATGGCTGGAGTTACAGGGGTAGCGCTGTGCGGGGAGGTGCTGAGGAGACAAAGGTCGAACCCAGGCCAACAGTCAGACCAGCAATTCCTGAGGCCATGGCTTCCTCGGCCCCCACTGCCCCCTCGGGGTTTGGGAGCCCCAACCCCCACCCCGTCACACTCACACACACTACCAAGAGCGACTTTGGTGGACAGAAAGCAGTCCCAGGGGCCAGGGAAGCCCACTGCCTGTCCACAAGAGGTGGCCGGCAGGACCAAGCGGGCGGCACAGCAGTGACTCAGCCTCCAGCAGCTGTGGGGCACAGCCTGGGGCACTGAGCCAAGCCATCGGCTCCCTAGAAGGTGCCCGAAACCTTTCTGAAAACCAGAGTGAGGGATCAGAGTGAGAGTACAGTGGGGAGATCACTTGCCTCGCATATGGCCGGCCTGGGTTCAATCTCTGGCATTCTGTATGGTCACAGAGCCAGGAGTCACCCCTGGGCATCGCTGGGTATGATCCCAACAGTGCAAGAAAAACAACCAAACAAACAAAAGCCCCAAAACCAAGAGTGAAAGGGCCCATGGAGAAATCTAGTGAGGAGGCGGGGGTCTCTTCTGGGGGGAGGGCACCCAGTGATGCTCAGAGGTCCACACGATGCCAGGGCTGAGCGAC